GGTGCTGGTGCTAGCGGCTGGCCCTGGAGCTAGTGCTGGTGCTGGCGGCTGGCCCTGGTGCTGGTGCTGGTGCTGGCGGCTAGCCCTGGTGCTGGCGCAGGTGCTGGCGGCTGGCCCTGGAGCTGGTGCTAGTGCTGGCGGCTGGCCCTGGTGCTGGTGCTGGCGGCTGGCCCTGGTGCTGGCGCAGGTGCTGGCAGCTGGCCCTGGAGCTGGTGCTGGTGCTGGCGGCTGGCCCTGGTGCTAGTGCTGGCGGCTGGCCCTGGTGCTGGTGTTGGTGGCTGGCCCTGGTGCTGGTGCCTGGTGCTGGCGGCTAGCCCTGGAGCTGGTGCCTCGTGCTGGCGGCTGGCCCTGGTGCTGGTGCTGGCGGCTGGCCCTAGTGCTGGTGCCTAGTGCCGGGGCCTGGTGCTGGCGTGACGGCGCTGATTCTGGTGGTGGCGCTGGTGACTGGCGTCGGTGCTGGTGCTGGTGCTGGCGGCTGGCGGGGTCTCTCTGGTGGCGGGGTCTCTCTGCTGGCGGTGTAGCTGCAGGCGGGGTCTCTGCTGGCGGGGTCTCTGCTGGCGGGGTCTCTGCTGGCGGGGGTCTCTGCTGGCGGGGGTCTCTGCTAGCGGTGTAGCTGCTGGCGGGGTCGTCGGTGGCGTTCCGCCGCCACTCCCTTCCCCCTTTCCCTCTCCCCCCCAGCAGCGTTCCGCCGCCACTCCCTTACCCTGCTCCCTCTCCTCCCCACAGTGACCGCCGCTGCACACGCGAATAGTTGCGACGGAGGGGGGGTGACGGGCAGGGGGCGGGGGGAATGCGAAGGGCAGAGCGACGGCGGGCAAAGAAGCGGCTGGGGCGACGGGAAGCAGGGCGACGGGCGACGGTGCAGGTGATGTCGGTTGGCTGGTGGTCCGCCGCCACGCCCTTCCCCCTTCCCTCTCTCCCCCCATATCGCGACCGTCGCTGCACACACGTACAGCCGCGACCAAGAGCCGCGGGGCCTTCGATCGAGCGGGACGCATAAGGCGGGAAGCGAACTGGCGGCGGTTTGCGTACGGACAGCAGGGTGTGCGCGGAACGCAGGGCGAAGGGCGAACGGGCAGCGCGCAGACGAGGCAACGGACGGCAGCGAGACAGGGGCGGGCGACGATCGACGAGGCAGGTGACGGGACGTGGGCGAGACGAGACGCGTGATAGGCTGCAGCAGCAGGTAGCGCGGGGCGACGAGCTGATCGTCGTTGCGCTCACAATGCGCACTACGGGCTGCGCGACGGGATGCGCCACGACGAGGGCTAGTGGTGGGCCCATGTAAAGCGAACAGTCCTAAATCGGACCTAGCTCTATACCATGCTACGAAACAAACTTAGTCTAGGAACCGGAGTTTACTAAGGGCCTAGGCTTAGTAGCCTAGGCTAAGCAAGTGTTGAGGTCAAGGCCAAGGGAGGATCGAGAGAGTTGACCAAACAAGTTAGCTTCACAAAAAGCAAAGCATACAAGATATAGTCGAGAAATACAAACAAGAGGTGCACCACCCAATAGTAAGGAAGCATAACTACACTAAAGCTAAAGCTACAGGCAGTTATAAAATATATATCGCGACACTGGAGGTGCTGGCGCTGGAGGTTCTGGAGCTGCTGGAGGCGCTGGTCCTGGAGGTGCTGGCGCTGGAGGATCTGGAGCTACTGGAGGTGCTGGTGCTGGAGGTGCTGGCACTGAAGGCTCTGGAGCTGCTGGAGGTGCTGGCGCTGGAGGTGCTGGCGCTGGAGGTTCTGTAGTTGCTGGAGGCGTTTGTCCTAGAGGTGCTAGCGCTGGAGGTTCTGGAGTTGCTGAAGGTGCTGGTGCTAGAGGTGCTGGCGCTGGAGGTTCTGGAGCTGTTGGAGGTGCTAGTACTGGAGGTACTGGAGCTACTGGTGCTGGTGGCACTGCGCAGCCGCGGCTGTTCTTCGCTCCGCCGTCACCTTCGTCTTTGCCTCCACCTGACTCCGTGCTTCGCCAGGTTCTTAGCCTCCTGTCTTCTATTGGTCTTCCGTTACAGCCCGGCTCCCCTCTCCCTGCTCCCTCTCCTTACCCTGAGCAGGCAGGAGGTCTTGCTGAGCGTCGTGAGCTTGCGTCTCATCCTGTCTCGCCTGTTTGCACTGTCCGCACTAGTCGTACTGGTCGTCGTGTCCCTCGTGAGCGTCCGCCGGCTGTCCTCGGCACACACCTCATGGCCTTGCGTCCTTCCACTGCTCCGCAGCGTGTCCCTCTACCGTCCCCTCTTGCGTCTTCTCTGCCTGAGGGTGCGGACCGTGAGTCTGACCGCACTCGTGCTGCTTCCCCTACAGTCACGCGTCTGCTTGCCACTGTTGTCACTGACCCGTCATTTGAGTCCACTGTTGCGTCTCCTTTGGTCCCTGAGCTTGTTGACTTCGAAACTGCCTGTCGCCTAGACTACGCTGCTAGTCTTGTTGCTGAGTTTGCGTCTGTTTGTCCTCCGTCCGTCGGGGGTGAGTATGCTCTTGGCACGGACGTCCTTGAGGACAGGTAGGACGACCTTGAGTGTCTTGCGGCTGCTGTACCTCATCTCGTGGCCATGCTGCTTGCCCCTGAGGGAGACCCGGATGCACCAGACATCCCGACTCCGCGATCTTACGCTGAGGCGATTGCGGGTCCTTACTCCTCTCAGTGGCAGACAACCATGCACACAGAGATGGCATCCTGGAAGTCCACAGGCATTTACATCGATGAGGTTCCCCCTCCAGGGGCAAACATCGTCGATGGCATTGAATCTTCACGGTGAAGCGGCCGCCGGGTTCTCCGCCTGTCTTCAAGGCTCGCTACGTTGCTCGAGGTTTTAGTCAGCGGGAGGGAGTTGACTTCTTCCAGACCTTCTCCCCCACCCCGAAGATGACCACTCTTTGGGTGCTGCTGCACGTTGCCACTCAGCGTGACTGCGAGCTTCACTCTCTGGACTTCAGCACAGCCTTCTTACAGGGCAGCCTGCACGAGGAGATCTAGCTGCGCCGCCCACGTGGCTTCACTGGGTCGTTCCCTCCAGGTACCCAGTGGAGCCTCCGGCGGCCATCTTACGGTCTCCGCCAGGCGCCTTGTGAGTAGCACGACACACTGAGAACGACACTTGCTGTTCTTGGGTTTGCTCCATCGACTGCCGACCCGTCGTTGTTTCTACGCACCGACACTTCGTTGCCGCCATTCTACATCCTCGTGTACGTCAACGACTTGGTCTTTGCCACTGCTGACAGTGAGGCTCTCGCCATGGTGAAGCCAGAGCTCCAGAAGAGACACACGTGCACAAACTTGGGTGAGCTGCGCAGCTATCTTGGCTTGCAGATCACTCGGGACAGAGCACGCCGCACCATCACACTTACTAAGTCACACATGGTGCAGCAAGTCCTTCAGCGCTTCAGCTTCACCCGGTCCTCGGCACAGTCCACTCCTCGGGCTACAAGTGACTCGCTCTCAGCTCCACCTTCGGACGAGTCCGTAGAGCCGAGTGGTCCTTACCCAGAGCTAGTGGGTTGCCTCATGTACCTGATGACCTGCACTAGACCTGACCTTGCGTACCCTCTTGGCCTTCTAGCTTGCTACGTGGCTCCTGGTCAGCACTGAAAGGTGCACATGGATGTTGCTAAGAGGGTACTTCGCTACTTGTGCAGTACATCGGGCATGGTGCTCGTGCTTGGAGGACGAGGCGACGTTGTCCTCACCGGGCACTCGGATGCTTCTTGGGTTGACGACCTGGCTACGCAGCGGTCGTCACAGGGTTACACCTTCAGTCTTGGCTCCGGCTCTGTTTCTTGGTGGTCTACCCGCTCGTCTTCTGTTCTCAGCTCCAGTTGTGAGGCTGAGATCTACGCCACAGCCATGGCTGCACAGGAGCTACGCTGGCTCACCTACCTGCTGACCGACTTGGGACAGCGGCCTCGTTCTACTCCAGTTCTGTACGTAGACAACAAGGCAGCCGTTGCCTTATGTCAGGAGCACAGATTGGAGCACAGAACAAAGCACATCGCTGTGCGTTACTTCCTTGCTTGAGAGTTGCAGCAGCGGGGTCAGCTTTGTCTTGCTCATGTGGCCACTTAAGCCAACACTGTTGATATATTCACCAAGGCACTTCCGCCTGGTGATCATCATCTTTTTTTGTACTTTGTTAGGCCTGGTGCCTACGTTTCCCCACTTGCTGTAGACTTGCTTGTATTGTGATATATATATATATACATTATATATACATATATACTTGCATGTTACTCTTGCTAGGTAGAGATCAATGTGCTGTTGTTGTTGCATATATACCTCTGCATGTGAACTGGCCTTGTGGCCCTTTGCTTGTGCTCAGTGCGTGTGGTGACTTTGTGAGCCACCTTGAGCTTGCTTTGCTTCTCTTCACTAGTCTTGTGATCCCTTGCTCTCCCCCACTTTGCCTATGGGGGTGTGTCAAATTATATAAATGATATATTTGTGTAGGGTGTAGTGGGGTAGTTACTATGGGGTATAGCCCCTTAGGGTTTCATATTTGTACCCAACTCTCATCTAGTCAATCAATTCCTGCCTAGTATTTTCAGACACGAGGGTGATGGGACGGAAGGGAGAGCACGAGGGTGATGGGACGGGCGGGAGAGAGCGAGGGTGACGGGACGAAAGGGAGAGCGGGAGGGTGATGGGACGGAAGGGAGAGTAGCGTGAGGGTGACGGGATAGAAGGGAGAGCGCGAGGGTGATGGGACGGAAGGGAGAGCACTGCGAGGGTGACGGGATGGAAGGGAGAGCGCGAGGGTGATGGGACGGAAGGGAGAGCGCGGGGGTGATGGGACGGAAGGGAGAGCACGAGGGTGACGGGACGGAAGGGAGAGCAGCGTGAGGGTGACGGGATGGAAGGGAGAGCGAGAGGGTGATGGGACGGAAGGGTGAGCGCGAGAGCGTCAGGAAGGGACTGATTGTGCGAGTGTGAAGGCCACGGTACGGGAGGGGAGCGCGAGAAGGCGAGGGGTCAGGAAAGGGAGAGATGAGGGCGACGGGAAGAGAAGGATGGGGAGAGATCGAAGGCAACGGGATGGGAAGGGAGACTGCAGAGGCAACGGGACAGGAGAGGAGAGCGCGATGGCGTGGGAGGGGAAGGGAGAAACGAGGTGGGCGACGATAAATTTTCGAGGCAAGCGCAACTACGACGAGTTGGGTAATGGGCGGGGACGGAAAAAGGTCGTCGCAAGGGCATTCGTGCGCGAACGTGAAGGTGGCGAGGTGGGTGATCGGTGGAGCGATGAGAGGGCGTTTCAGGGCGAGCGCGTTCACTGAAAAAATGTCGAGGCAAAAATCGCTTCGAGACGCGAAAGATCACTTGCCATTAGGCCACAAATAGACGCGTCCAAATGAAATCTAGTAACGGCATTAGCCTGTGCAAAATCGCCTACGTTTTTCGCCATTCTAAGCTTGGCAACACTAGAGACTAGAAGAGAGAAAGGAGGTAGTGAACCCAGGCCCAACTTGAAGTTGGAAGTTGGGCCCAACGATTAAAACGATCGCCGCGCAGACGTCGTGCGGGTGCACCACGTCGAAGGCGACTCCTTTGTGTAGGATGCGACTTTTTAGTTTTTGGCGGGAGCCAATCAAATGAGTTTGATCTGCACACACGGAAAGTTTGAAACAGTGTCTTGCAAACCCACTCCGGTGTTGGGCTGAGAAAAGCCCTCAGGATCTTTGCAAGGCTAAACTCTGGGTAGGACTTGTTGTAAATGCGGAAGCGTATAATGATAAGTCTTGAGCCACCTTGCGCTGGTATGTGAGGGCAAAGTAGATTGATTAATCAAAGAGATACATGGCTTTTATAAGAGTACAAGGAATATGAAAAGATGCAACTAATAAATGTTTTACTCTTGCTGTTGCGGTTCGATACAGTGACGACTCGGGCAACTGCTCAATAACGAGTCAGTTTTTTGTCCTTGCTGTCGCGCTGTACTTGTCAGGTCAAAGGTCGCTGACCTTAGACTTTCGCGTAACCTCCAGCGGTTTCTTCACTTCTCATCCTCCAAGTTTTGACTGTCAGAACATTATAGCTTATACATTTGTGTAGGCTATAGTGGGGTAGCCCATAAGGGGTACAACCCAATTAGGGTTAGCACTTGTACCCAACTCTTTCATAGTTCATTTATCCATTCTCACTTGTCGTCATGGTATCGAGCAGGTTCCCGAGTGGGAATACTGCCTAAGGCACACCACGAACTTTTTTTTTCTTCCCTGCCCGGAGCGCGCTTCGCTCCTAACCCGAGTAGCGCCTCGAGCTGCCTTAGTGGCCCCAGTTGGCCGCCCTTACGGCCCCTCGCGCCGCCTTCTATGGCCCCGTCTGGCCCCTTACGACCCCGTCGCGGCCCTGCTTAGGCCCCTTACGACCCCGTCGCGGCCCCGCTTAGGCCCCTCACGGCCCCGTCGCGGCCCCGCTTAGGCCCCTTACGGCCCCGTAGCGGCCCCGCTTAGGCCCCTTACGGCCTCGTCGCGGCCCCGCTTAGGCCCCTCCGCGGCCCCGTCGTGCCCCTTACGGCCTCGCCTAGGCCCCTTACGGCCCCTCCGCGGCCCCGCTTAGGCCCCGTCTGGCCCCTTACGGCCCCTTCCGGCCTCTTCGCGGCCCCGCCTAGGCCCCCCTTCGCGGCCCCATCTGGCCCCTTACGGCCCCTTTACGGCCCCGCCTAGGCCCCTCCGCGGCCCTGCCCAGCCCCTCGATGGCCCCGCTTCGGCCCCTTTACGGCCCCTCAACGGCCCCTTTACGACCCCGTCGCCTCCTGCGGCCCCATCGCCCACTGCGGCCCCGTCGCCACCTGCGGCCCCGCCCACCCTTGCGGCCCCGTCGCCCACCTCGGCCCCGTCGCCACCTGCGGCCCCGCCCACCCTTGCGGCCCCGTCGCCCACTTCTACCCCGTCGCCACCTGCGGCCCCGCCCACCCTTGCCGCCCCGTCGCCCACTTCGGCCCCGCCGCCACCTAAGGCCCCGCCGCCACCTGCGGCCTCGCCGACACCTGCGGCCCCGCCGCCCAGCGCCCGCAGCGCCGAGCAGCCGAACCGCCGGCCAGATGAGCCGCCCAGCAGCCGAGCCGCCCAGCAGCCGAGATGCCCGACAGGTGAGTCGCCCAGCACCGTGCAGCCGAGCCGCCCGACAGCCGAGCCGAGCAGCCCGATCGCCCCACCTGCCCGGTAAGAGCATAGTCTCTGCCACTGCACTGCCCTGCCCCACTGCACTCACTGCCTGCCTACTGCTGTTATGGCCTCCCCTAGCGTTCTCACCTTTGACGCTGAGGGTCGGGCAGTGGACTTTGAGGTCTGGGTAGATGATCTGCAGCTTTTCCTGCAGTGCGATAGGGCAGACGGCCTCTCCCTGTTTGACCTCACTTCTGGTGCCTCCCCTGCCCCTGCTGCTGATGCTGACGCCACTCTTCGCTCACAGTGGGCCACACGTGATGCTGCTGCTCGCCTTGCTGTGTGCCGCCACTTACTGACCACTGAGCGTGCACACTTTAGCCAGTACAAGAGTGCTCAGACCTTGTACGACGTTGTAGTTGCACGCTACTCTTCCCCTGCCACTTCTGCACTGAGCCGCCTCATGCTGCCGTACCTCTTCCCTGACCTTGTTGCCTTTCCCACTGTCGCTGACCTCATTACGCACCTCCGCACTAGTGACACTCGCTACCGCGCTGCGCATCCTGCTGAGTTCTGCGCCACGAACCCCTCCCCCCCCCATGTACATCACCCTCTACTACATAGTCACCCAGCTCCCTAACTCTCTTCGGGTAGTCAGGGACCACTTCCTCTCTGTTTGCCCCACCACTCTCACCGTTGACCTCCTCGAGAAGGCCCTCCTAGCGATAGAGAAGAGCATAGTCGCTGTAGGAGCCTCTCGTGGTGACCCTCGCACCCCCGTCTTTGAGGGGTGTTCTCCCTCCCCCCTCTTGCCCTCTGTTGCCTCTTCTGTTGCGGCCGACCTCGTTGGTTTCGAGTCGGTCAGCGCTACTCTACCCCGAGCGAGAAACGCAGCACCGGCAAGGGCAAGGGGGGCAAGGGCACTGGAGGGGGTGGAGGGGGCGGTGGAGGTGGTGGTGGAGGCGGTGGAGGGAGTGGGGGTGGTGGTGGGAGTGGTGCCGGGGCTGGCGGCGGCGGCGACAGCAGTGGAGGAGGCGGAGGCGGTGGAGGTGGCGGAGGGAGCGGAGGAGGCGGAGGTAGTGGAGGAGGCGGAGGTGGAGGAGACGGCGGAGGCGGCAGAGGTAGCGGCGGCGGCGGAGGCGGCGGTGGTGGAGGGAGTCGCGACTCTGCGCAAAGGACTGGCGCCGGTGGTGGTCAGCGCCAGCAACAGCAGTGAAGTGGTGTGACCCTGTCCCTTCAGCAGCTTCGTGAGTGGTACACTGCGTGCCAGCGCGGTGGGGGTTTTGGTCCCTGCTCTTACGTCCTCCGTACCGGTGACCGCGCTGGTGAGCAGTGCGGAGGCCCGCACTCCACCCAGCGCTACTTTGGTCGCCTGACGGACGCGTGGCGTCGCCAGTTCCCTGAGGCGTCAGAGATCCCTCGCTGGGGAGATCTGGCTAAGGCCGGGGTTGCTATCTTTGATCTTGACTTTCATGCTATCCTTGCTGCCATGTATGCTGTTGATACTAGTCTTGAGGGTGCCTGTTACCTGTGTGTACCGCCTGACCCGGGCATCAAGGCCGCTGCTCTAGGTGCTGGTGAGACTACTGCTCTAGGTGCTAGTGCGTCTGCTGCCCCAGATGCTAGTGCGTCTGCTGCCCCAGGTGCTGGTGAGTCTGCTCTCTCAGGTACTACGTCGGCTCAGGCCTTCCGCCCCTCACTCCTCCGAGTTTCCTCTGACAGAGGCTCCGCTGCAGACGCTACACATGGACGTGTGGGGCCTAGCCTGCGTCAGTGGGCAGGGGCGAGAGCAGTACTTTCTGCTGGTCATTGACGACTACTCCCGTTACACCACAGTCTTCCCCTTGCTACGCAAGGGTGACGTCACTGAGGTGTTGATCGTCTGGATCCGCGCAGCTCGTCTCCAACTCAGAGAGAGTTTCTGCTCGGACTTTCCTGTTCTGCGTCTGCACTCGGACAGAGGCGGCGAGTTTTCCTCTGCCCGTCTGGGAGCCTTCTGTCGTGCATAGGGCATCCGCCAGACCTTCATGTTTCCGGCTCTCCACAGCAAAATGGGATTGCTAAGCCCCGCATTGGCATGGTCATGGACGTCACTCGTACGTCCATAATGCATGCGGCTGCCCCCCATTTTCTGTGGCCGTTTGCGGTTCAGTACGCCGCGCATCAGCTCAACCTTCAGCCCCGGGTCTCCTTGCCAGAGACCTCCCCCGCCTTGCGGTGGACCGGGAAGGTTGGCGATGCGCCTGCGTTTCGGGTCTGGGGATCTCGGGCGTTTGTCCGCGACTTGTTTGCGGACAAGCTGTCCTCCCGTGCTGTTCCTTGCGTCTTCCTTGGCTTCCCCCCTGACGCGCCTGGGTGGCAGTTTTACCACCCCACCTCGCGGCGTGTTCTGTCCTCCCAGGACGTCACCTTTGACGAGTCGGTGCCTTACTACCGTCTCTTCCCCTACCGCAGTACGCCCCCCCCCACCACCGCTCTTCCTTGCGCAAGGTCCTCCCTAGGTAGACCCCCTCCCTCCTCAGGGTCCTGCCCCGACAGGTGTGTCCCAGGTAGACGCAGTTGAGCCTATCGAGGTACCTGTTGACTCTGGTGCTGCTAGAGGTGCTGAGCCTGCGGGTGCCAGGTCTGGGGGTGCTAGGTCTAGGGGAGCTGAAACTGGGGGTGCTGCGCCTGGGGGTACTGAGTCTGGGGGTGCTGAGCCTGGGGGTGCTGAGCCTGGAGGTGCTGAGCCTGGGGGTGCAGAGCCTGGAGTTGTTGGGCCTACTCGTGTGGCCGCCGGCGGTGCTTCGTCGAGGCGGGAGCCGCTCTCTCCACAGGAGCTGCGCGAGTGGTTCGCCCGCCGCTGGAGACGTGCCGCTGAGTCTGGGGGTGCTGCTGGAGCTACTAGAGTTGGTCCTGTTGGAGCTGCTGTCGGTGCTAGTGCTGCTAGAGGTGGAGCTGCTGGGGGTGTTGGCACTGGTGTTACTACTGATGCTGGTGCGTCTGGGGGTGCTGCTGAGGCTGCTGGTGCTGACGGTCCTACTGGAGTTGGTGCTGCTGGAGTAGGAGCTGCTGGGGGTGTTAGCGCTAGCGGTGCTGCTGGCGCTGGTGCTTCTAAGGGTATTGGAGTTGGCGGTGTTGGAGCTGGAGGTGCTGGTGGCGCTAGTGCTGCCGCTCGGGGTACTGGTGCCATCCCTGCTGGTTCTGGAGGCGCTGAGCGGCCTCGGCCATACTTCGTTCCGCTCCTGGAGCAGGTTCTAGGTCTCCCGCCCTCTCTTGGTCCTAGTCCTCCCTTAGAGTGTTCACAGCCTGTCCAGTCGCAGTCACAGTTACAGCCTGCCTCCCCGCTACCTGCTCCTTCTCACTACACTGGTCTTACTAAAGGTCTTGCTCAGCGTCGTGAGCCTGTGTCTCCTCCTGTGTCGCCTATTCGTGCTGCCCGCACTAGTCATCGTGCTACGCGTCCGCGTCCTCCTGCGGTCCCTGGCAAACACAAGAGGGCACTGCGTCCTTCCACTGCTCCTCTGCGTGTCCCATTGTCGTCTCCGCCATAGTCCTCTCTTCCTTCTCTTGCTGACCCGGAGTCTGACTCCCTTCATGCTGCTAGTCCTTCGATCTCGCGCCTTCTTGCTACTGTTGTCACTGACTCTTCCTTTGAGTCCACTGCTGCGTGTGCCCTAGTTGCTGAGCTTGTCGACTTCGCTGCTCGCTGTCATCTAGAATAAGCTGCCAGTCTTGTGGCTGAGTCTGAGTCTGTCTGCCCTCTGTCCGTCGGGGGTGAGTGTGCTCTTAGCACGGACGTCCTTGAGGACAGGCAGGAGGAGTTCCAGTGCTTTGCTGCTGCTTTGCCCCAACTCGTGTCCACGCTGATTGCCCCTGAGGGAGACCCGGATGCACCAGACATCCCGACTCCTTGATCGTACGCTGAGGCGATCGAGGGTCCCTTCTCCTCTCAGTGGCAGTCGGCCATGGACACAGAGATGGCTTCGTGGAAGTCCACAGGCACCTACGTCGACGAGGTTCCCCCACCTAGGGCAAACATCGTCAGTGGCATGTGGATTTTCAGGGTGAAGTGGCCGCCGGGTTCTCCGCCTGTCTTCAAGGCGCGTTACGTGGCTCGAGGCTTCAGTTAGCGGCAGGGAGTTGACTTCTTTCAGACCTTCTCTCCCACCCCGAAGATGACCACTCTTTGGGTGCTGCTGCACATAGCCGCTCAGCGTGACTACGAGCTTCACTCTCTTGACTTCAGCACTGCTTTCCTGCAGGGCAGCCTTCACGAGGAGATCTGGCTGCGCCGCCCACCTGGCTTCACTGGGTCGTTTCCTCCTGGTACCCAGTGGAGCCTCCGACGGCCAGTCTACGGTTCTGCCAGGCGCCCCGTGAGTGGCACGACTCACTGAGGACTACACTTGCGTCCTTGGGTTTGCTCCTTCGACAGCCGACCCGTCGCTGTTTCTGCGCACCGACACTTCATTGCCGCCGTTCTACATCCTCGTGTACGTCAACGACTTGGTCTTTGCCACTGCTGACACTGCTGGACTCGCCCACGTGAAGTCCGAGCTGCAGAAGAGACACACGTGCACAGACCTGGGTGAACTGCGCAACTACCTTTGCTTGCAGATCACTCGGGACAGAGCACAGCGCACCATTACCCTGACTCAGTCGCACATGGTGCAGCAGGTCCTTCAGCGCTTTGGCTTCACGTACTCCTCGCCTCATGCCACTCCTCTGTCTACTCGCCACTCGCTCTCAGCTCCACCTTCGGATGAGTCCGTAGATTCGAGTGGCCCGTACCCAGAGCTTGTTGGCTGCCTCATGTACCTGATGACCTGCACACGGCCTGACCTTGCATACCCTCTTAGCATCTTAGCACGCTATGTTGCTCCTGCGAGACACTGACCAGAGCACATGGCTGCAGCGAAGAGGGTGTTGCGCTACGTGTGCAGTACGTCGGGCATGGGGCTAGTGCTTGGAGGGCGACGTCGAGTAGTCCTCACAGGTCACGCAGACGCTTCTTGGGCTGACGACCAGGCTCCGCAGCGGTCGTCACAGGGTTACACCTTCAGCCTTGGCTCTGGCTTTGTTTCGTGGCGGTCTACCCGCTCGTCTTTTGTTCTCAGCTCCAGTTGTGAGGCTGAGATCTACGCCGGGGCCATGGCTGCACAGGAGCTACGCTGGCTCACCTACCTGCTGACTGACCTAGGAGAGCCGCCTCGTTCTCCTCCAGTTCTGTACGTAGACAACAAGGCCATGCTGGCCTTGTGTCGGGAGCACAGACTGGAGCACAGAACGAAGCACATTGCTCTCCGCTACTTCCTGGCTCGTGAGCTGCAGCAGCGTGGTCAGCTCCGCCTCACCTACGTGGCCTTTGAGGTTTACACTGCTGATATCTTCACCAAGGCCCTTCCGCCTTGTGATCATCAGCGCTTATGTACTTTGCTAGGTCTTGTGCCTACTTGGCCTCACTTGCTCACTTCTTGATCTTGTTTGTACTGTATTCTTTCTATACCTGCCCTTGCTTGTTTACCTTTATATATATGACCTTGCATGTGAACTGGCCTTGTGGCCTTACTCTTGTGCTCGGACGTGGTGACTGCAGTTGCTTGTGCAGTTGATCCACTCTGAGCTTGCTTTGCTTTGCTTTGCTTGACTGGTCTTGTGACCACTTGTTCTCCCCCAGTTTGCCTATGGGGGTGTGTCAGAACATTATGGCTTATACATTTGTGTTGGCTGTAGTGGGGTAGCCCATAAGGGGTACAACCCAATTAGGGTTAGCACTTTTACTGTTGCTGTTGCTGTTCGATACAGTGACGACTCGGGCAACTGCTCAATAACGAGTCAGTTGTTTGTCCTTGCTGTCGCGCTGTACTTGTCAGGTCTAAGGTCGCTGACCTTTGACTTTCGCGTAACCTCTAGCGGTTTCTTCACTTCTCAACCTCTAAGTGTTGATCCGCCGATGCTTCGTTGTGCTTTGCCTCGTTTACGACTTAGTGTTTCGACAGACAACAAAAGTGTTCAAATTACTTGTTTCCAACACTCCCCTTCATTTCTGGAGTGTCGCTGTTGGTGACGTGGCTTTGTCCAGTCTGCAGCATGCAGTACTCGAACTTTTGTTTTCCGAGTTTCTTGGTCAAGTAATCTGCTGCCATCTCATACGTGGGGCAGTATGACAACTCGAGTCTCCCCTTCTCGATTTTGTCCTTCACAAAGAAATATCGTAGTGCGATGTAATTTATCCTGTTCGCGAATCCGCTCTTGTTCGCTATGCGGACTGCTGACTGATTATCGCAGAGCAGGGAGAAGCTGGGCAACTGGGCCAGCTTCACCTCCTCCATCAGTTCGCGAAGGTACAGTCCTTCCTTGGTAGCTGAGCAGAGTGCGATATATTCTGCTTCAGCTGAGGAGAGGGCGATTAGCTCCTGCTTGCTCGACTGCCATGAGATGGGTCTGATAGGTTCGAGTCGGTAGACGTAGCCGATGCGCAAGCGCCTGTTGTTAGAGTCTCCAGCGTGGTCGGCGTCGACGTAGCCGATTAACTTAGGCGTTGTATTTCCGTTCTTGTGGTAGGTTAGGCTGATCGTCGGGGTGCTGACGAGGTAGTGAAGAGCGCGGTCGAGCTCCGCCATGTGCTCGGCTTCAGGTTTCTTGAGGTAGGTAGCAAGTTGACTTTCAGAGTACGATAGATCCGGTCGGCAAGTGACGGCCGCAAAGAGAAGGCAACCTGGCTTTCTCTGGTAGTCGCGTATCCCGGCGGGTTTGAGCGGAACACAGCCTTCCTTGTGGTTTCCGGTGGTGTAGCGATATGGCGTGGAGATGGTGGATGGGGTGAGTCGGAAGCGCTTGGCGATGGTGTCGGCGTATTTCGTAGTGCTGAGGTAAATCACGCTTTCCTCTTCCTGAATGTTGAGGTCGAGGAATTGCGTGACGGTGGATGAGACCGTAAGAGTGAGGTCTTTCTGTAGCTCCCCTTCGAACCAGGTGGTGACGTTGTCGGTCGAGCCGATGTAGAGGAGATCGTCCATGTAGACGATGAGTAGAATGTAGTCGTTGTCTTTCGTGAGTCGGTACATGCCCTGGTCGTGTGGTAGCTGGCGGAATCCGATGCGGATGAGTCGAGCATTTAGATACTGTTGCCACAGTCTCGGAGCCTGTTTGATACCGTATAAAGACTTCAACAGTTGGCAAAACTGGTTAGGATCTCCGTTGGAACCGTGAGTAAGTTCGACGAAGATTTCGGCGTCAACAGGTGCGTAGAGAAATGCATTGGAGACGTCGATTTGCCGTAGCTTTTTCTTCTTCATGGCGGCTATTGCGAGGAGAATTCGCAATGAGGTATGTCGGCTGATTGGGGCGAATGTTTCGGTGAAGTCGCGTCCGTGCTCTTGGTCGAAACCGCGCACGACCCAGCACGCCTTAAACTTGTCAATGGTGTCGTCTGCCTTTGTTTTTACACGAAAAACCCATTTTCCGGTGAGTACTGTTTGGTTGCGTGCCACGCCGATGGGAACGACTTTCTAGATGTTCCGTTCTTCCAGTGCTTTCAGCTCCTTGTCCATGGCTTCGCGCCATTTTTC